GGTGTGTCCCAGGTGTCCCAGGTATCCCCAGGTGTGTTCCAGGTATCCCCAGGTGTGCCCAGGTGTGTCCCAGGTGTGCCCAGGTGTCTCAGGTGTTACCTCATCGCTGACCAGGACGTGGATCCCGGTGGGTCCCTGTTTGTGGATCTGCTGGATCTGGTGGGCGGAGACGCGGAACAGGTGAGCCAACTTCTCTGAGAGCTCGGCCGCCGTCAGCTCCTCCAGGTACACGGCGTGGTACACTGCAGGGGAGACAGGGACATACACCTGAGACAGGTACATACACCTGAGACAGGGACACCTGACACAGGTACATACACCTGAGACAGGTACATACACCTGAGACAGGTACACCTGAGACAGGTGTGCCACCTGAGCTCCTCCAGGTACACCCCATGGTACACTGCAGGGGAGACAGGTACACCTGAGACAGGTACATACACCTGAGACAGGTACATACACCTGAGACAGGTGTGCCACCTGAGCTCCTCCAGGTACCCCGTGTGGTACACTGCAGGGGAGACACACAGGTGAGACAGAGACACCCATCCCCAGGTGTGCTCCCAGGTGTGTCCAAGGTGTGCTCCCAAGTGTGTCTGAGGTGTGCTCTCAGGTGTGTCCGAGGTGTGCTCTCAGGTGTGTTCCCCCACTCCCAGGTGTGTCCCAGGTGTGTCCCAGGTGTGCTCCTCCATTCCCAGGTGTGTCCCAGGTGTGTCCCAGGTGTGCCCCCCCATTCCCAGGTGTGTCCCAGGTGTGCCCCCCCATTCCCAGGTGTGTCCCAGGTGTGTCCCAGGTGTTCCCAGGTGTGTCCCAGGTGTCCCCCCCTCACCGAAGAAGGTTCCAGCTCCCTCCCCGTCCTCGGGCTCAGTCCTGGGGTCCCTCCCGTGCCGGGGGTCCCCCCCCTGTGCCGACTCCTGGCACACGTAGAGCGTCAGCCGGGGCCGCACCTGCCTGCAGGGGGGAGGGACAGGGGAGGGACAGGGTTAGCTCAGGGTTAGGGTTTGATCCCAAATTCCCGGATTTGATCCCAAATTCCCGGATTTGACCCCAAATTCCCGGGTTTCCCCCCGTACCTGCCCTTGAGGGCGTTGAAGAGCCGGATGCCGTCGGCGGGGCCGCAGATCTGGATCACGTCGTCCCTGCTCAGCTTCAGCAGGTCGGCCCCTGCACAGCCCAAAGTACCCCAAAATCACCCCAAAATCAACCCAAACTGACCCAAAAAACCCACATTTTTCAGCCCCCAAAAATCTGCATTTTACGCCCCAAACCCCGCATTTTTCAGCCCCAGAAGATGCATTTTTCTGCCCCAAAATCTGCATTTTTCTGCCCCAAATCCCCATTTTTCAGCTCCAAAATCCCCATTTTTCACCTTTTTTTCCCCTAAAATCACCTGGCACAGGTGAGGGGGGAACTGGCACAGGTGAGGGGGGACACCTGGCCCAGATGAGACACGTGGCCCAGGTGAGAGCTGTGCCCTGTGCCAGGTGTGCCCGTGGCCCAGGTGAGAGCTGTGCCCCAGCTCAGGTGTGCCTGTGCCAGGTGAGAGCTGTGCCCTGTGCCAGGTGTGTCCGTGCCAGGTGAGGGCTGTGCCCTGTGCCAGGTGTGGGGCGGGCACTCACCTGAGAAGTTGCGGAAGAGCCGCGCGAAGGGGCCGAAGCGCTGCCGGTGCAGCCACTGCTGGGCCTCCTGCGGCGTCCAGGTGGGCAGCAGCGTCTGCGGGCACAGGTGGGCACAGGTGACCCGGCAGCAGGGTCTGGGGGCACAGGTGGGCACAGGTGACCCGGCAGCAGGGTCTGGGGGCACAGGTGGGCACAGGTGACCCGGCAGCAGGGTCTGCGGGCACAGGTGGGCACAGGTGGCCTGGCAGCCTGGCCAGGTGACCTGGAGGGTTTCCACCAAGGCAGGAGCACAGGTGGGCACAGGTGAGCTCAGGGTGGGCAATGCCAGGTGGGCAGCGGGGTCTGACAGGGGGGCACAGAAGGACTGAGGCCTCCCAGGTGTCCCCAGGTGTTCCCAGGTATCTCCAGGTGTCCCCAGGTGTTCTCAGGTATCTCCAGGTGTTCCCAGGTGCTCCCAGGTATCTCCAGGTGTCCCCAGGTGTTCTCAGGTATCCCCAAGTGCTCCCAGGTATTCCCAGGTCTCTCCAGGTGTTCCCAAGTGTCTCCAGGTGTTCCCAGGTGTCCCCAGGTATTCCCAGGTGTTCCCAGGTGTCCCCAGCTGTTCCCAGGTGTCCCCAGGTGTTCCCAGGTGTGTCCCAGGTGTCCCTGGGTGTTCCCAGGTATATCCCCTCCCCTCAGGTGTGTCCCAGGTGTCCCAGGTGTGTCCCAGGTGTCCCCAGGTGTGTCCCAGGTGTGTCCCCAGGTGTGTCCCAGGTTTGTCCCAGGTGTGTCCCCAGGTGTGTCCCAGCTGTCCCCAGGTGTGTCCCAGGTGTGTCCCCAGGTGTCCCC